CTCATTTTTTCTTCGTATAAAAATATTCATTTTCTTTATATATTTTTTTTTCACATAAAAATGTCTTTTTATCTATCTATAAGATTTCCTTATAAAGTTTTAGAAAATTAAAGATTTGCCATTGATAATAAAAATATTAAAATTTTTGGCTGAAAATGTTAAAACAGTTGAAGAATATAAATTACATCTTAATAGAATGTTGGAACTTTGTAATATTCCACCCTTATTAGAAAAATCATCTGATAGTTTAATTTTTGATGACATAATGAAACAGTATTTTACATTATTAGGACAGCTTCTCATAATCTTGCCAACTGAGCAGCAAATATTAAAGATTCATAAAATTCTTCATTCTTTGCTTTTAAAAACAGAAATAAGAAATGTTGCTGCAGTAACATTTGAATATTGTCGTAAAGCAATGGAAAAATCTAAGTTGCCAATAATTGTAACTGAATTATTAAGTACCTCTTATTTAGAGACATATGAAAAATTTTTACAATTAGTTTTTTTATTATCATCCATCTCATATGAATGTTGTATGTATTAAGAAATTAATGTTTTAAATGAAAGATTTAGTTCTTGAAACTTTGAACTGATTATATTTTCTGTTTTATAATTTTAAATAAAGGTTATAAGATGATAGAAGCTAATATACTCAATATCATACTTATTAGAATGGATCTTCCTTTTGCAACTCAAGTACATTGTAAGCGTCCACCTGATATGTTATTAATAGGAAATGAATACAGTAATGAAACAATTCTCTTGATAATGAACATATTATGGAGTTTGATGAAATCTATTACTTTTTCTAATGAAAAATCAAATAATTTAAAAAAAAATTAATACCAACTCATTGTGCTTTATGGTAATATTTTCAAATACATTAATGATAGTTAATTTATGCATATTATATTACATTATAAAATTTATACAGGGGTCTGTATTATACATTTAAACGACAAATATATTATAGTAAATATAAATATTTTAACACAAAAGTTAGAAATGAAATTGCTATGATTATTCTTATGATTTCAATTAATTTACCATCTTGGAATCTTGTTGGTAGTGGTATAGCTGATATTGTTATTGAATTTTAATTGGAATTGAATCTAATTCTGTTAGAATATTTTCAGAACTAATAACATTTAACACTAGTATTGAAGATTTATACTTTCAAAAAATTCTATTATTAATTGTTATACATTTATCAGAAATTAATACTTGTGTAATTATATTTTTAATATATTTTGTATCTAAAAAATTATAAGAAATATTTTAATATTATAATATTTAATATAAAACATAATAGTTAAAAGGAAAAAAAAAACTAATGCAAATTATACTTCAAATTATTAATCCAAATATTAAAAAAATAAAAATTAAATGGAATCCATATCAGTTTTGGGATGTATGGATATATGCTATAAATACTTTATCTATATTAGTACCAAAAATGCCAAAAGAATTTGTGGATTATAATGGTGGTATCAGGTAAATAAAATAGAAACATTTATGTTTTATATAATATAAAATTTAAATATTTTATAGATTGTGCATGATACTAGAATGGTGTTTAGACATAAAATTTGATATTAAAATAGTAATGATTACTATAAAAACGATTTGTATAATTATTCTGAAAAATGATAAATATATATTAGAATACTTTCGGCAATGTGGATATGTATTCTCATTAATTAGTTAGTTTTTTGCTTATATATTACACTTATTATTAAATTTTATTATTTTTCAATTATATATTATATACTAATTTGTTTTATATTATATTTTATAGAACTTATTCAATATATTTTGAAATTTGACAAAATTAGAATGCCAGAACAAAGAGTTTTAACATTGACTTTATTATCAATTGAAAAACTCATAAAAAAACAAATATTCTATCAAAAAATTTATGGAGAGTACAGTGTTGCATTAAGTATGGAATTGTTATTTCGTTGCCTATATCAAAAAGATCAAGAATTTAAATTAGATCAACGGTAATATGTATTTATAATAATAAGATTGAAAAGTTCAAATATCATTACATAAAAAATTTTATTAGTCTTTTGATAGCAATAGGTTCATACATCTGGGAATGTATAGTATGGTGTCCTGAAAATCTTGAAAAATTTATTCATTATGGAGGAATATATATTATCCTTGATATTATAGAAATTGTTCCATATTGTTCTCATTGTTTATTTCTTGCTGTTTTTACTGATATTTGTGATAATTTTTTTTGTGGACCATTTGTATGTACATGGAGAGGTATTAATAAAAACACAGGATTAATGTCTTTGCTAGCAAAAATATGGAGAGAAGAAGAAATAAGGATTAAAATTAAAAAAAATGTGAATGGTACTATCAAAAGCAAATAATAAGACAATTTTAATTTATAATACATGCTTTATAAACATTCTTATAAAAATTTGAATATATTGTTTTCTATTTGTTAGATGAAGAATTGATTCACATGAGTCAGAAACAGAGGTTTGATACTTATTTCACAAAATTTTCTAAAGATAATAGTCCAGCAATAATTGATATGATTGGTTCAGTTAGATCAAAAATATATAGTATTTACAAGATAATAGAAAGAGATAATGAACGATATTTAATGGCCAAGGAGCATTATAAAATATTAAATAATAATCTTTCATTAGAAGACAAAGTAAGTTATACAAATATTAATTTTTATATCATACAATTTATATTTGAAATTTATAATTTAATATTTTTACAGATTACAATATCTACCATAAATATGTATTTTGCATTGAAATTAGGTCAAGTATGGGTAGAAATTGCTGAATTTTTTGAACAAAGTGGTATTACTCCTCTTGGTATGGATGGTCAAACAATTTTTTTGATAACTCAACGTTATCATATGTGGAGTAAAATGGCAAAAGAAAGACAAGATATAATATTACGATCTATAGACAAGGAAAAAGAAATAGAAGAGAAAGATGAATATGCAAAAATTCGCAATTCTAAGCTAATTATAGCATTAGATGCATTTGATGAATTAGATTATATATATAGAACAACAAAGAGATCAAATATGTTGAAGAAAAAAGTTGAACAAATAAAACAAGTTAATTTAGCTTTAAAATTTCCAGATGATTCAGATGATGCACATTGTCATAGGACATTCCAAGATAAAATCATGGTTACGGTAAACATGATATATAATTTATTTAATTTTTATTTTTTTATTTTTCAAAAAAATATGTTTTTACATTTAAATTTTATTTCTTTCAACTCTTCATATAGGCTATATTTAATCAGCATCAAATATTAAGCAGTGATTTGAAATTAGATACAAATTTAAGTCATATAAAATTGAAACTTATTCCTATTTCTCCTTATGATAGTTATATTTCTGATAAAACATATTCTGAATTATCTTCTTCATCAAGTACCTATTTTTCTAATATAAAAAAATTTAAAGAAGATGAATAATTGCTATGATGAAAATGATAGATAATAAATTTTATTTTAATAAAAAATGCATTATCTTTAAAAAATACAGAATTCTTCATTGCCGACATGTTTATAACAATTTAAATATTTTTTCAAAACATTTAATATAATAAAAGATTAATTGGTTAAATTATACATTACCGGATTATTTTTTTTCAACTTTTGTATACAAATTATAATTTTAATACTAGAAATTCACGAAATTAAAACTTATAAATAAATAATATAGTATTTTATATCTTTATATTTACTCAGTATTTTGAATGGTTTGTCTAAATGAACATTAGATTATGTTTATGTTTAAAATAATAAATATATTTTTTTTATATGAATTATTATTATTCTTCAAATTATGTTTGAATATGATATTTCACTCAAATGATTATTATGTATATAATCATTTTTATTTATATTGTGTCATTATCAAATGTTGGTAAAAATAGTAATCGGAAAATATAAATGATATTATTATGATTTATTAAATATTAATATAACGCGCTTTTCTGATTAAATTTCAATAGAATTATAATGGCAAATTATCTGTAAAATGTTACAACATTATTTTTTCATAATTTTTGATCCTATGAATTCCTAGAAGTTAAAATTATAATTTTTATAATTTATATATCAAATATCATCAGATAACAAAAAAGATCTGAAATAAAATTCAATCAATTTTTTATTTTATTGAAGCGATATAAAAAAATTTATTTTATTTATGTATATTTTTGTTTTTTCTATTTTCTATGCCCAAATTAAATATTTTCATTAGCTTTATGATAAATCATTATTTAATTATTATTTTAATAAATCGATAAAGAAATAGATTTTGCAGTTATATTATCACTTGAAATATGGAGGAAAATATTGAAATATTTAATTTGAGAATTAGCGATGCTATGATTGGTTCTACCATTATCTGGATTCTAGATTCTTTATTATCTAGATAATGTAACGGAAACATTGGCAGGAGAGCGAATGAAGAATGCAGCGGTAAGCCAGTAAGAGCCAACATGCCGTTCCCGCCGCAAGCAATTGTCGTCGTTATTTTCGCCTATCCAATACCGGTTTAAAGAAGTAATCGGTTGCCTGTCTCGCCTTCTCGCACACGTTTGTTCGTGAAAGGAACATAAATTATCGTACAAATCTTGTGTTTACGTTAAAATAATCGTGCCACACAAAATTGTTTTTGATTAGGGTAGGTTTCATATTTAAGTCTCACATTTGTGAAAATCGTGGTGGATTTTTATCTAAGACGAACCATAAGCTGTATTGTCAATTGTAACTTCTCGAACATTTAAATATTTTTCTTTCCTTAGCGCCGTTCGCCGTTTTATTTATCGCTATCTTTGTCTATCATTTTTCCTTTCATCTCTGTCATTTTCCATATCCCCTCTTTTTGTTCATCCCTTCGTCATCGTTGGTCGCGAAAGGCAGACATACGAAGCGCACGGATTTATATTCGTGTAGCGCAAGAGAATTTAGCTGCTTCGTAAATATGGCGTGTGAACCGTGGTGCTTTAACCGTGGCTGTGACGAAGCTCCTCAACGATGGCTGTACATCCTGTTGCTGACTTTCTACGTACTCGGGCATCTTGGTTCAAGTTTTGCAGACAACTTAAGTGAGTGTTAAGTTTTTTCAACTTGTTGCATCTATTCTTTCTCTTTCTTAGTTCACTCTTGAGAAAGAATGTAGACGTGCATAATTAAAAGATATCAATTTTATAGCTAAGAAAAAGATAAAGTCAGATAAAAGAGAAAAAATTGAAAAAAAAAAAGAAAAAATTTTTTCTTTGAAAATATTAGAAAATAAATATAAAACGTTTTCTTTATATATACGCGCACTACTACGCAATTTCACCAAACATGACTGTTCCTTTTAAAGAAACTTTCCTCATTTTCGTTCTTTCAATTATTTATTTTTAATGACTAATCAAATTTTAATCCATTAAAAATCTAACAATTTTCAAATTATTATTATTATTATTTTTATTATCATTAAAAAATATTTATTATTTTTTTAATTTTTAATATTTATTTTTAAATTAATTTCTCTTTCTTTTTTTAACTATTAATTATTTTTTATAACTATTTTGTTTTGCCATGTTTGTACATTTTATAGTAAATATCATCCCTATTAAATAAGATTAACATTAGTATATGTCATCAGTGAGATTACATAATTATACGATGTCGTTCGAAATATAAAAGAAAATAATATTAATTTAAATATTTTCTTGGACCAATTAAAAGCATATTTAAAAGCAATATGAAGTAATAGTATGCAATACTTGGAATGTTTATTTTTTTCTGCTTATGTTATTTAAAATCATTTTAACGACTACAACAATATTTTTTATTCTTGATATATATATATATATATATATGCACGTTTAGAAAATATTTGAAATTTGACGTAAAATATTTAATATAATAACAATATAAATATATGTACTTTATGAATGCTATCATTATGTGCAAATTAAATGGCATTTATAAATTGCAATAATATAATAATAATTAGCAAATATAATCATTTACTGTTTGATTAAATTATATATCATAGAAAAAAAGATATTTTCTAGGCCTAGGTTATGTCGATGAGGAATATAATCATTTACTTTTCATTAAATGATATATCATAGAGAAAAAGATAAGTTTTCTAGGTCCAGATTATAAAGAGAAAGAAAAAAAAAAGAACATATACAATATACAATTTTCTTATATGCTTGTATCGGATGATAATTGAAATAATTTTGAGATGACAGATTGAAAGGTTATCAAAGTTGGTTATGATATTTTTAAATTTTACCGGCATAATTGATTTTGCGAATAATTTTATACTGAATGTCGGTTGTTTGTGCAAATTTAATCTGGTATGTTACGCTAACAATTTTTCTGTATTTTTGATTTTATTTATTATTATTTTGTTAGAGCAAATTATCGAATCATATTTTATTTTATTTTATTATTTTTTTTTTTTTTTTTTTGTCCTTTAATCTTCGATCCCTGTCACAATGTATTTCACAAGTAATTTTTTAATGAAATCATGTATTAAAAAATTATATAAAAAGTGATTTATGACAGTGATAACTACATAGGCCGATCCTGGGTCATTTATGATGTGGCATATTTAATATATTTTAAAAATTTCTCTATCAAAATTATATGTTAAAAAAAATTACACAAAAAATGATTCTTATTTTTGATTCTATTAACTCGAAAAAAAGAAAAAGAATTTTTAAAGATAATTATTCTCTAATAATCCAAGATTGATTACTTAAGAATTAATCATCTTTAATAAACTTCCATATTTTTTTTCCTTTACAATTGAGTGAAATTTTTCATTGAAATTTTACGAATCATATTTTATTGTTAGCATATTATAGATATATAAACGCAAGTTTTTATTTTTTTTTTATTTTATAAGAAAATATTTTATTCTTATTTCTACATATTGTTTATATTATTCAGCCGCAATATATTACACGTCATTAATTTTATTAACGTTTTAATTTTGTTAAATCGAGATAGTATATATAATATGTTGTAATATAAAATCGAACAATATTTCTTATTTTTTTTTATTGACTTCAGCAAATTATTCTATCTTATATATGCAATTATAATTAGTCAAGACCACGTTTTTTCTTTATTTCTTTTCCATTCGTTATAATAATATTTTCATGATATTCTTTCATGTATAATTCTGTCTGCGATAAATAAATAATCGTATTAACAAATATTAATCATCTAATTATTTCTTCGTTTTATCAAATATTGTATTAAACTGTTATTAACTATTTAACCTTGTTTACATCTTGTTAAGATCAGATTTAATGCAAATTACAATTATAGTCTACTCGAAAAAATCAATAAATTATTGTATAATCAACATTATTTACATTTCTTATTCAAGCAATAAGATATAAGATGTGTTCTTAACAGCAGAAGTCAATGAAAGAATTAAATTTCTAATGTTATATAACATTATAGAATAAATGCAAGTCTATATTTCAACATTAAAGATAAATATCAATAAAATCACAGTAAAAATTTCATTCTTTCGCTTAAAAAACAAAAGTATTCACATTGATTAAAAATTCGAAATTTATAACCTCAAAATCTCTTTTGACTTTTTCTCTTATTTTTCGATGTGGTTATTAAATAAAATATTATTGATATTTATGGCATTGATCATTAATTAATAACGAAATTAATAATAAAATAACAAAAAAAGTAAATCAATTTCAAAGTAACCAATTGTAAAAGTGATTTTAAATTTTTGATAATATGAAATAATTAATGAAATATATGAAATATGAGAGTATATGAAATAACTAAGAATCGTGAGGAATCTATTTGATAAAGTGGAATCATATATAATTTACATGTTTGTGATATGTATATCAAGATATAGTAGTAACTTGATTATTTTATTGATATTATTTTTTTCTGAAGCGAGTCTTGAAAATTCTTGGAATTCTTGTCAAAACAAAAAGGTTAGTTAGCATATACACAAGTGACGGTAGTATAGTTTGTTTCAAGTGGTTTCACAGCGCAATCAATGACAGGGTCGTTATACGGTCCTCGATTGGAACGAAGTAGTCGTGAAGGCGTGACGAGTGAATACTCGCGTGAAACAAGTCGAAATTGTCAACACAAAGAACTGCAAAATGTGAACAATCCTCTTAGTGAAGATAGAAAAGCAGGATTGCACTTTCCAAGCAACCCACTCTTCTCTCGATCAAGCAGCGCACGCACGCTCTTTTCAAGGCTATAGGGAACAATTAAGCGACAGTGGGACCCTCTACATCAGTGTGCTACTGTTCTACTGTGAAAAAAGACATTCATTTCATTTCAATTGGCTACGATCATATGTATAACGCATAGATTCGAAAGGAATAATTTTAAATGATTCTTGTTCTCATTCTCGTAGAGTTTTAATCGAAATCGTAATTGTTCTTTCGATCATATCACACTGCTCTATTTATATCGATTTAATTAGAAGAATTTATATCGATTAATTAGAAGAATTTTGAAGAATTTAATCGTAAATGTGATTAGTCGAAAAAATCCTATTGTTTACATTAGTGTTTATATCATTATTTTGTACTTAATATTTATTTATTTTATCAAATATATTTAATAAAAATATAAATTAAGTAAAATCTGCTATCATGTGGCATACAATATTTGCATATTTTTATAAGTTAGATTTTTTTCACAATTATATTTTATGAGATCATAGATATTATAACGTTAAAATATCCAATTTAATTTTTTAAAAATATTATTGATTAAAATATTTTTTTTTGTGTTTATTTTTTTTTTTTTTGGGAATTTTTTTGGAATTGAATTTAATATATTCTTTTTAATTTCTATGTATATTTGTTGCATGTATTTGTGACATTTATATAATGATTAGCATAGTGGAATTATTAGATAAACTATTTGTGAATCATATCTTTCATCATCATGTTTCTCACTACATGGAAAGCTTAATTAGTTTTATTAGTTTTTCGAATTGATGCTCGTTTTCATCACATTCAAAATAGGAAACCTTTGATATTATAACATTAAAATATATATGATATATATAATATATATAAAATATATAAGTCTTTTGACACTATTGACACAATATATGCAATTATATTTTATTTATACAAGGAATTACAAAAATTCATCCTAATTAATCTTCGACTATAAATTCAAATTAAACTTAATGTTCTATACTTATTATAGATATATATAAAATATTTTCCAATATATTGAAATATATTATATATAGAATTGCTAAAAATAAATAATTGTTTGTCTTATTACAAACCATTGTTCAATATTAAAAGAATTTTAAAAAAATGTGGATTTTTATGTTATAAAAATATTTAGACATGTAACAAATTTAAATTAAGAAATTATAATAATAATTTTACACAAAAGCAACATGTTTTAAACAATAATCAAATAATTAAAACTACATTTTTATTACTATAATTTTCTAATTTAAAATCGTTAAATATTCAGATATTTTTAGAAAATAATAAAATTTATTTTTTTTCAATATTTTTTTTTCCAAACAAAAGATACAATTTATTTGAAGAAGAAAAAAATGTTCATTTTATCTTTGCTTTGATTTTTTTTTTTTCGTTTGATATAAAGAACGAATTTTCGGAAATATTCAAGGAAATAAAAATTCAGCTAGTAATTTTTTTTTATTAAGGATTAGCTGTAATTTGAAATTAGAATAAATTTAAGAATTAAGTTATTATCAGAATCACAAAATTCTTGAGAAATATTCGATATTTGTAAAAATAAATCTTTCTGAAATTATAAATTATTTCTTATCTGTTGTTTTAAATACAGAAAGATAAGGAAGTGCGGTTATTTGATATTGCGTTGTAAAAAAAATTTAGAGACACGCATTACTCGAGAATTATTTATCACAAATAAATTAAAATATTTTTCTGTACTACACTGAGAAAAAAGATGTAAATCGTGTATCAAAAGTTGAAAGAATATCGATAGAGGGGACACGTTCAAGGGCGAGACGTGGCGAAAAAATAAAAAGAAGGAGAAAGCGTAAAAAGAAAGAAGGAAAAGAAAGATTCAAGCTAGT